TTAGTACGCGGAGTATCTGGGGAGCTGGAAGATGAGAACTGGCGACTTTGTAGTACACCTTTAGTTCGCGGAGCAATCTGTGGAGCTGAGAAGTGGCGACTTTGTAGTACAACTTTAGTACGCGGAGTATCTGGGGAGCTGGAAGCTGAGAAGTGGCGACTTTGTAGTACAACTTTAGTACGCGGAGTATCTGGGGAGCTGGAAGATGAGAACTGGCAACTTTCTAGTACAACTTTAGTACGCGGAGTATCTGGGGAGCTGGAAGCTGAGAACTGGCGACTTTGTAGTACAACTTGAGTACGCGGAGTATTTGGGGAGATGGAAGCTGAGAGCTGGCGACTTTGTAGTACAACTTTAGTCCGCGGAGTATTTGGAGGAGCTGGAAGATGAGAACTGGCGACTTTCTGGTACAACTTCAGTGCGCGGAGTATCTGGGGAGCTGGAAGCTGAGAACTGGCGACTTTGTAGTACAACTTTAGTACGCGGATGAGTCATCTCTCGCGGCTGAGTCATCTCTCGCGGCTGCTCTGGCGCCCCTGCAGCTGAGTCATGTCTCCCGACCACCCGGCTCTCTTGAGAGGTTGACAAATTTTAGCTACTTAGCTTACTCAGAAGTGGCTGCCACAAAAGAGTCAACGTGACGTTAGTATGTGTTATGTGTGTACTTCACCTTCATGACAAACGATGTTCGCTTGGAATACACGAGTCGCTTGTCATGATCGTGACGTCGTTTACTCTCAGGTCGCCCTGTTCGTGGAAACTTCAGTGTGAAATGTATGTTCTTCAGTTCTATTTGAACTTCAGCGTTGTACTTGCACAACTAAGGTTGACGTTGCGGCTGCGCTGCCGTTGCATCGACGCATCTACGTCTACACCCCCTCACCTCTCTACATTTACATCTTCACACGCTCACATCCGCAGATCTACCTCTCCACCTCACCACATCCACACATCTGCGCATCTATATCACATCTGTACATCCACACTGTCGCTCCTTCACATCTGTCCTGTCTTTCTTTCTTTCTTTCTTACTTACTTTCTTTCTACATATCTTTTCTCTCGTCTCTGTGCATTTACATCTTCGCACGCTCACATCCACAGATCTACCTCTCCACCTCCATACATCTACAGATCTATATCGCACCTGCACATCCACACTGTCACTCCTTCACATCCACCCTCTCTCTCTTTCTATACATCTTTTCGACAGTGCTGGACAATTACATGTCTCGCTCTCGGGCCAACCGTCGTCTAGTTTCCTGATGTTGGAGGGATAGTCGGATAGTCATCATTTATTCAGGGTCCCATTGGGACGGTGCCGAGCTTCAGCATCAAGGTTGAATATGTCGAAAGACGGAGGACTTGCAGTTTTTTTGCTGGGCCCTAGCCCTTGGGCCCCTCGCCCGCTATTTGTAATGTCTAACTCACTCTAAGACTCTAATACTTCAACTCTCCCACGGGCTACTTGTAGAGCCATGATTGACCAGCAGGGAGCATATCTCATGAACAATCCAACTCGTCGTTTTCCCTGATCACCAATTCAATTTGATTCGATCGTGGTGCTATGAGGCGTGAGATCACCAAGGTTGAGATTTGCATACACAGAGACTGCAAGCGTCGCTTGGCTTTGACCAGAGTTTTCCTCACCTTTTGATCTCTCCCGCCTCACGCGTTTTGCTTCGCAGGCAGGGGTGGAGGGGCAAAGCTCAAGAAGGTCTTTGAGGATTTGGCTGAAGGGACCAACATTGAGGCCAGCCTTCGACCATTGTGACATATTGTGACCCTTCGACCTTGTTCTGCACGTGGGGGGTCGTACTGCTCCAGGTTGGTGAGTACGACTGCTTTGACGAATGCCCTTTTGGCCCGAATGTGAGGCAGGACGCAGAGTTCTCCATCCTTTACATTTGAAAATTATATTCGTTTTCTGTTTGGGGAGGACGCTGAGCGGACCTGATGACGACTTCGGCCGCGTGCTGAACAAAGTAAAAGGCAAGAAGATGGTTGCAGAGATCCTTGGGGTGGAGTTGCGCCTTGTTGGCATGGAGCAAGCACGGGCAGCAGTTCCATGTCACACAGACGGGTTCCACTGCGAATGATCTTATAAATGGTCCCTTGTACCATCTCAGATGACCGAGGCCTGAGGAGTCTGAGGAAGAGCCGAAGTGACCGGCCCATCACAAATGTGATGTTGGCATGCATTTGGGTGAGACAAAAGATGCGAAGTGTCTTTTGCTGGGAAAGTGTTGAAGCGATTCTCAGCATACAAGGCTTTGGGAGCCCCTCATGCGTTTGTTTAAAGATGTTGTTTCCTTGTTCACCTGCGAAGGGTTCCTTCAAGAACAGCTACCAACTTCATCTCCCCTATCATCATTTTCTTCATCATCACCATCATCATCAAGATCAAGTGTTAAGACTCTGTTTAGATCATCATAATCATCATCATCATCACCATCATCATCATGATGTGTTAAACCGTCTGTAGATATTTGTATGTAGATATTTGTGTGTTTATGCATGTCAGTGTACAGTGTAAACAGATGTAGGTGTTTGGATGTAGGTGGATAGATTTACCGATGTAGGGATGTAGGTGTACAATGGTGTACATTGGATGCATGCGTATTTAGATGTAGGCGTATAGATAGATGTACTGTAGGATTCAGGCGTGTAGATGTAGGCATATTCAGATGTAGGTGTATAGCTGTACTTGTCACACACCCCTACAAAGCTTCTACAGAACACCTACAACTTCAACATTCTTAGAAAGCGTCTTGAGGTTTGGGGCGGGCCCGGCCGTGTTCATCAAGATGCGACCCTCTGTGGGAATCGTGCGTGTCGAGTGTCTAAAACTGTAGCGCTGTGCAAATTGGCGTGTGGCTGGGGCAACCTTTGCGAGAATTGTGCGTTTCGAGTGTTTGAAACTGGACTAAAGTAAAGCTGTACAGCGAACATGTGGTGTGTCCTGGCGTAACCCTGGAGTCGTGTGTGTGTGTGTCAAACCCTGTTTCCAAGGGTCTAATTTAATTTAAAGCAGGGGGACAGAGCTCTCTGATGCTACTCTGTCCAACGAAGCTAGGCATCAGAGAGGGAAGCATCCACTGGCCATGGATGTGTACCTGCTTTAACGGTTGAACAAGCTGTCCAATTGACCTTGTTTGTTTTCATGGTTCTTCATGATACTCCCCCTAAACCTTCCCACCGCGTTCTTGCAACTGAGCCGCGCGTTTTCGTGAGCGTTTCGTTTTCGTGCTTTCTGCAGACTTCAAACCATTTTGTTCAAACATCTACAAGTTTTGCGGACTCTTCACCTTACCGTTCTTCACCTTCCTTCCCAACGTGGCAATTGAGTTAACTGAAAACCAATGTCAGAGTGTGAGCCGCTCAGTCTTCCCACTTGGGTGCTGGGTGTGACCCTCCGAAAGGAGGCGCCGAAGCCATTCCGGAATTCACTGGTCCTTCATATTTATAACTGACCCTTTGCTTCTTCACTTTCATAACTGAATTAACGGATTTTTGAGCCGCCGGGCCAAAAAACGGACAATCTCAACCACCGAATCCAGAGCCGCCGGGCTATAAAACGGTAATCCACCCGCAATGAGGCAGGTTTCCCAAACCCCCCCCCCAGCCGAGTTCTACTCCCTACCTATTTAGGGCAACATAGGGAAATGGTACTCGACACACTTGTGTGTCGGTGCCTTTCCCTGTGTTGTTCCTGTTCTAGTCTATCCTACCCGGGCGGTCTAAGACTAAAGTCCCGCTCCCTAGCTATTGCACTTAATTCATCTCTGCTAAGTAATCAGTAACTCTAGAGTGCTAGGTATTCAGACACACACATGTACACACACATGGACATACAGCCCCTCCCTGCCCCCCCCGCTTTCCTTCTTGCGCTTTTCGTCGTTTGTTGGGCTTTCTCTCAGGCTTTTTAGGTTGCTCTTGAGGCTCGTTTCCCTACCCCAGTCAAGGGCTAAGTATTCACTTTTTCTACACCTACCTTTCTTTCTTGCCCTCTTAGCGCTGCTCTTTCTGTCTTTCTTTTCTTTTGTTTCTAAGGCTTTTTAGGTGACTATTCAGGTCTTTCACATGCGCGCCGCGAAGCGGCACCGTGTGTGTGTCAAACCCGGTTTCCAAGGGTCTAATTTAATTTAAAGCAGGGGGACAGAGCTCTCTGATGCTACTGTGTCCAACGAAGCTAGGCATCAGAGAGGGAAGCATCCACTGGCCATGGATGTGTACCTGCTTTAACGGTTGAACAAGCTGTCCAATTGACCTTGTTTGTTTTCATGGTTCTTCATGATACTCCCCCTAAACCTTCCCACCGCGTTCTTGCAACTGAGCCGCGCGTTTTCGTGAGCGTTTCGTTTTCGTGCTTTCTGCAGACTTCAAACCATTTTGTTCAAACATCTACAAGTTTTGCGGACTCTTCACCTTACTGTTCTTCACCTTCCTTCCCAACGTGGCAATTGAGTTAACTGAAAACCAATGTCAGAGTGTGTGTGTGTGTGTCGAGTGTGTGTGTGTGTGTCGAGTGTGCGCAAGGCTCAGAACTTGCAACTTTGGTAGCATGCATGTAATGCAAATGGAGTCCAGGAAGTAGCTTCTGGGACTCTGCTCTCAGAGCTGGCAACTTTGTAGTACAAATGTGCTGGCAACTGGCAACTTTGCAGTACAATTGTAGTGTAAGGGGAGGAGCTTCTGGGATGTTCGGGCTCGTATCTGGCAACTTTGTCGTGCGCACGTAGCATGGGGAGTGGCTTCTGGAAGCTCCAGGCGCAGTAGTGGCACGCGGTGTGGCCATACTTCGTCCATGATGTTCCTGGTGGAAAGTCGGCTTGCCGTGGCTCAGGACCGTTCATTTGTAAAGGCAGCGTGCCACGGGTGAGCGGACTGATTGATGGTCTTAACGAGGCGTGGTGCCCCACTGTCGCGTTCAGTCCGCGGCACAAAGTGTGGCGAAGCTACGTTCGTGATGTTGCTGTGCCATGCGGTGTGATGATGTGTGGTGTGATGTCGGTGGAAAGTGTGCTTGAATGGCCGTTCAGTTCCGCTGCTGACCGCGCCGGAATGATTGGTGGGCGCTCGCAGAGGGCTCTCCCTAAGAACAGCTACCAACTTCACATCATCATTATCACCACCTTCGTCATCAGCGCCTTCATGTCATCACACACGTCATCTTCACCGTCATCGTCGTCGTAGTAGTAGTAGTCGTCGTCTTCGTCGTCGTGAGTTAGTTCTAGACATTAAGATGCCGTGTAACAATGTGTCAGCCAGAAATGCCTGTAGAGATCTAGGACTGATTCCCTTTTTGTTGTCTCATTTTCCAACATCCATTCTACCTATATGTTAGTCCTACTGTGCTCTCGGGCCACAGTATTGTCTAGCTGTCTATTCTGTTGGATAACGCAGACTTGAACAGGATCGACGTCCCTGATTCGTGGGGCGATGGGGATTTGTTGAATATGTGACATATGTGTTGACTCTGGTTGATTTACATCACTCATTCGGGGTTTGAGGAAGCTATTCTGTGCACAGCAAACGTTGTTTTTTACATTCGTTAAAAACACATACGCACGGGTGGTTAGTTTCAACAGTTGTGGGTAGGACATTGTTTGGCAAGGATGCCAAGGCACGCTCGTCAAGGTGGAATGCCCAGGCTTTGAACCTGGGTTCTTCAACCCTTAGACACAGCGATGCATGGGACGAGAAATGTAAGTAACCGAAAAGGTAAACATTTTGGCGCCACATGCACCATTAAAGGCCATTCTCAAGGGAACATATTGAATACAACACTCGCTTTCCGAGACATTGTCATTTTCATGATTCATGTCATTTCCAGAAAACACAATTAAAGTCAATTAAACATATTGCGCCCTACGCAAGGGCACTTGGACAAAGGCAGGTTTTGGCCAACCAACTTCATTGATCCAAGCCGCGATAAGACTTGCATTTTTCATGCGTTTGAGGTCCAAAAGTATCATGTAGGTGGGCCACGCAGCCTACTCTCGACTTGGGTTGATTTTCTAGTCTTTACGCATTGGGTTTCTGGCAAGTGGGCAGCCGCAACGACACTGCTAGACTTTCGATGGATACATTTATGATACTGATAAGTCTCTCGTTTGTTAAGATGGACGCTTTGCCCTGAAATCAGCCTCAAATAGCAGTTGCTCAAGCGAAGACAGCGATGATGCACCACCAAGCTTGAGTGCCCTGTTCTTCCTTGTTCCTAGCATGCAATGCATTTTGCGCCACACTCTCCTTTCTATATAGGACACTTGCACTATAATGTGGCCTACCTTGTACCTACATTTTTCATCCTCTCTCCGCACAGTTAGAAAGTCTTGCAAGTGTTTAGCAGGCATTTCCAGAATTCACCACTCCACAAATGCATTCGGTGCTGAAACATGGCAGCCTGCCTGCAGGCAAGGTACGTACCCGACTGGTGGGTTGCCGAAGAAAACTGGGATTTGATATGATTTGACGATGTGGGCTCGAAGTGAGGCATTGACTCAGACATATTTGATGAGCGCTTGCTGCACCTCTTAGAGATTGGCCGGGACTGCGTCGACATAGAGTTGGTGCGATGGGCTCTGCGTTTGCAGCCCGATGTTGATTTGCATGCCCTCTTACAAAGCCGAAAGCACGTCTGCGGTGGCAGCTGCTTTCATGCAATTTGAGGAAAACAAAGAAGACGTAAAGACTTGAAACAATTTCAACACATTTCAACCATTCCGAAATGTTCCATTGGATCATCACGGACATCGTGTATGGACAATGGTGATTGTGATAGATTTGATGTTCGTAGTGCATCAAGGCAATGCAAAGACTGGCCTTGTGCGTCCTTTGGGGGTTCCCTCCGTTCGCCCACGGTCCCCTTTGAGAGATCATGTGGACTTGCTGGCGCTGAGTAGATTGATAGCCGCAGCTTGGTCGAAAGACAAAAATTGCGGACTGTTGAAGTGCCAGATTGTCAGACTTGGAGTGCATTCACTCATTGGGCAGAAATGTGTATCCACTGTTCGCCTCTTCCTCGAGGATCTACTTGACATTTACATTGCCAATGGAAACAAGCATGTTTCATACTGGCAGTTGCACGACCAACTTGCCTGGGATGGAGACTCAGCCTGCAAGCAGTAGAGTGGGTCTAAATCTGTTGGAACTTTTGACACCTCTCTGGGGAAGATGAATCCCACCTGGAATGCTTCAGAATGCTTTAAACTTTAAAGTTAGTTTTCCTGTTGAACAGCGGCGTGGGGTTTGACAAAACTTCATCCAACATTTTGGAAGGTGACACATTCAGCTTGACAGAGAGGCTTGATAGCATTGCCAAGGCGATGACTATCGATGCCTTCGTGAGCATTTCACTCTTCCAAGACTTCTAGTTCCTTGCCTCAAGACTTGGGGTCTGGTGCCATCGCGCAAGCTTGGAGTCCAAAACAATGAGGCGTGCTTCTCCTTGTTTGACCACAACTTTGGAGGGCAGCAGTGCGCGCTCAGCAAGAGGAACTATGCAGTATGGGGCGCTGAACGACGCTTACACTTACACATATATTTAGCGCCGCCTTAGAGTGTGTAAACCTTGGGTCACAGAAAGTTGGACCAGGAACATGTACAGGAAAACATGTCGATTATATTCAGTACCTTCAGCACCAGTTTCGGAGATCCACTTTCTTCAAAACATATATTCGAACATGTTTGACATATTTTCCTGTACATTTTCCTGGCCCAACTTCCTGTGATTGGGTGTTGAATCTCGGCATGTTCACATGTTGCAGGACTGCCACACAAACCCACACCGTCAGTGAGTATAATGACAACGCATGATCTGAACATTTCTCTCAGGAGTTGTGAAGGGGACTCTGCAGAAGTGGCAGAACGACATTGCTGAGCCGCTGGCTCCCATGGAGTTCCAGGACGGGCAACAACCTCGAAACCAAGGGTTTGAAGGGAGCAACAGTTTTGTGGCGAATCATCCATCATCGGAGGGTCGAAACCTTTGATATTCTCTGGAGTTTGGTCCGTGTTTGGTTGGAGTACTGGCAAGTCGGGGACATAGGATGGCTGTGCTGAGGATCCATCTGTCAGAGGGCCTCTGCAAGAAGGACCATTGCGGTATGGACGCGTGGGCCAAATGAAGCCGCGCTGCGTACTACAGTTTCCAACTCTCCACAATATGTTCACTTCAACGGCTCACTTCCAACGGCTCACTTCCTTTTTGTCGCGTTTGAGGACGCTTTCTAAGTTTTGTGGACGTGATACGACAGCTACGCTGGACAGCAGAGTTTGCGCCGCATGTGGGGGAGATGTTAGAATGGGCTGCTTGGAGTTAGTTCAGATGCAGCTTGAACGATTCAGCCTTCAGCCTGGACTGTTTAGTGATTTCGCTTTTCGATCAGTTTGATGTCCTGGCACTTGTTGGCCCAGAGGCTTGGCAGACACCAGGTTTGGAGCTTGGCATCCGACTCTCATCCGCCAGTTTTGCCTGCAGAGACGTGCGATGGGAGGACAAAGACAGGAGTGAAAAAGGCGATGTCATAATGATGACAATCAACGCGTATCAAGACGCCTTGTCCGATGTCCCATATCAAGATCAAACTCTCAGCTCCATTTCTTGAGAATGACGCCAGCTTAATGGCACCAATTCCGCTTCGCAGGCGCATTGCATGCATTGGCGGATCACTTGGAGACCAAGCCAGGCTTGTCTGAGCACATTGCAGCTTTGCGCAGTAGTGTCCATTGGCATCTTGGATGTGGTCGGACAAAGTGCTGAAGAGTTGTTTGGCAAGAACAAGAGTTACGAGATGTTACCAGAGATTGTTAAGGCGAGATTATGGCTTGGGGCCTTTGGAGAAGTTTGTGCGGAAGTACACCGCATGGTTCCAGGTCTCAGGGGACCGAATTACGTTGTGTGTCCTGTCCGCAGCCTACCGGACCTACCGGGTGGTGGGTGTAGATGAGTAGCTTCTTGTTACTAGTAGCTACTTGCTCCTAGTAGTACGGCCCGGAGCCCCTAGTAGCGTCCTTGCTCCTAGTAGCGATGCCAGGAGCCCCTAGTAGCTTCTTGTTACTAGTAGAACATCATTGATCCAGGCCACAAGAGTTGGAAGGGCGATTCCAACCACACCGAAGCACACGCGGCTGGTCTGCCATTGCCAAAGAAGGGAACAAACGAGGAGGGACGGAAAGTAGCAACAAACAAAAGAACTGCGGTTTGGGGCAGTTTGGGGAAGGGTGCAAACGTGTCCAAAGCTTCCTCCGAATGTCTCCCAACAGGACAGTGACATTGATGACAGCTCTGACATGGAGGGTGAAGAGCCTGAAGTCTCATGTGCGACTCAAACTTCACGAGTTCAAGTGCAAGTTGCGAAGCCACTGTTGGTTTAGGTTTGATTTTGCTGGTCATTTGATGGCGTTGATGTTCGCGTTGTATTTCTCTTGAGGCCTCGGAGAAATGGCCATCCTACCAGCGCCCCCCTCGGCCTTTTACTGCGGTCGAAGGCTATGTGGAGTTGCTGCAAATGAAGAAGCCTCCACAGAGTATGGTGAATGGTTTCTAGCTACTCTGCAGCTGACAGACAGATAGTTTGAAACAATAGAAACTTGAAGTGAGAACAATGACAAGGTTGCAATTGAGGCGTTGGCTGAGCCATGCCTACTATCAAGCTAACGATTTCCAGAACATTTTTAGAGAGGGATTGCTTTCCTAGATTCTTTTACATGAATATTATACATGCATGTATGTGTAGACATATATAACAGGTAACAGGTGTGTGTATATATATATATATATCAGATGACACTTTTTGAGCTCATTGAGCTCTTGGCAGCTGGCGCGACTGTCCTTGGCAGGCCACTGCTATCATGAGATTTGTCAGAAACAAGCTCTCCTGGCACCTGGGCCAGAGCTTGGAGCCATGGCGATGTGAGACTGAAACAAATGTAATAAGTACTGCAATTGGAATAAACATATAAATGGATAAACAGAAAGAAACGTCTTAAGGTCTAAAGGTCTCAAGACAGAAAAGGACACATCTTGAGAAACCATTTTCGATTGTCTCTAGTAGGTTTGACTGGTTTCAGGTGCTTTCTCTGTGTTTCTTCTTGTTTCAAGGACTTCCAAATGATATTGTGCTGCCTCACCTCCGCGGCGATGCAATGCTGTTCAAAGAGATCGGTGAGCAGATGGAACGCTTCATGGAGCGGTGGGGTCCCCGTACTCAGGACGTCGGACTGTTGTACACACCGAGTGAGAAGAAGAGCGGGACGTTTCGGCACTGTTCGCAGAGAAGTGGTGAGATTACCTTCTTTGCACGCAAAACAAACCTGATTTTGGCATTACTTCAATGTAACAAACACCTAAATATAGCATTTTCTGAGCCCTTCTTGTGAGCAACAATTTGAAGACTTGGCAAGGTGGGTTTTGCCAGGAGTGCAGGAGTGTACATTGTTTATTGTTTACTACATCGGCATCAGTCATGTGTGGACCCTACTACAGGACCTGGAGCAAAGATGGTGTGTCTTTTCCGATATCCAGCAGCTTGTCGGAACCCGGAAGGCCAAAGAAGGAAACGGAAAGATGATGAAAGAGGATGAAAGAGGAGGAAGCGACAGTGGGACAGTGGAAAGAAGCGGAGGCGTTGCAGCCTTTCTCTGACCGAGGCGAGCACTTGCGCTGAACCTTCGGTTGACGTGGCCGAGACCCGGATGTATGAGCGACACAGGGCCTGTTCCAGGGGCATGGTTGTGGTGGATTTGCTTTGCTGTCCCTACTTAATGTCCCAGGTCTCCCAGCGATTTTTGGAGAATAGGACAAACCGTATGGGAAGGCAGCTTCTTTTTGCAAACGAAGGAAGCTGGAAGTGTCATTATTCGGTACATCTGCCAGTGGGCTTGCCCGCAGAGATTCCGATCTGGATTTGCTATTGGACTTGGATGGTGCAGGATGCAAGTTCGTATGGCTTGTTGCTCCTTCAAAATGATGGCTTCAGCAATCGTTTTGAAGGAGCAGCCTGATTGAGCTACAAGGCGTTTGTGTTTTGCAGGAAACCGGGAGCTACCTCGTTCCAATGTCCCCAGCATCCTCTCCCAGTGTGAGGAGGCTTTGGGTCGAGCAGGTGCTGAGGAGCTCCAGGGCATTCCGAACGCAAGGACAGATTATCAAGAAAAACAAATTGCAATGTCCTCCGAACACCTATGAACTTTATTTCTTTCCTCTTATGAACTGGAAACTTTACAATTGCAACCTGATACGTCAACTTTTTGATGAACGCGACGAATGCCAAGACTTTGTGTGTGAATGTGTGTGACGAGGATACCGATTGTGAGGGGCAAGATTCATGGGATTCGATTCGACTTGTCCTTGGGCACAACGTGTGGACTGTGGAACACTGCCTTCTTGCGGGAATGCCTGAAGGATGATCCAGGAAGAGTGATGGCTTTGTGCAGTTGCGTATCATCCTGGAGCAAAATGCGCGGTGTCAATGATTCGCCCAATGGCTTGCTGAGCACCTACTCTGTATTGCTCATGGTGATATTTTATCTGCAAATACGGGGACATTTGCCAAGACCTCCGGCAGATTTCAGCAAGTTGAAATTGGACGACGCACCATACGCGCCTCCAGTTTCAAGTCTGTCTCACGAAGAGCTTGGACGTACATTGGTCGACTTCTTTACTTTTATATGCAGCTTCAGGTTCCTTGGGTTAAGAGGGTTTTACCAGATTTTTTGCTGACAGAATCGCTTGCATTCGGCATGGGACCTCTCTTTCTTGAATCATGTTTCGCATATTTTTGCATGTGTATTTACTTTACTAGAAAGCTTCCTTGGGAATCGTTTCATTGGGAATCGTTTTCACCTGTAGTAGCAAGAAGCCAACGGGGCTCCCAGCGGCGCTGAGGTGGGACTGTTGGATTGCATCTGTGCGATGTGCCACGGCATTGCCACGCAGCAGCAAGGGCCGTGCTTGGCGAGTGGCGCCACTGTGTGTGGAGGACCCCTTCGAAACACATCTGAATACTTGCAGGCGCATCCATACATGCATCATCATGCATCATGCATCCATGATCATCCGCGTATCCTTTTCTTGGAGTGGTATTGTGAGTTTGATCTGCCTTTTTTTTTTCTGGTGAGGCGTGTGAATCCAAGAGCTCGGCGACAGATCTTGGGCGCATTTCAAGCAGCCTTGAGGAGACGGTGGGGATGTTGAGGGAAACTTGTTCAAGTTTTCGACAAGACAACGACCCATGTAGAGTCTTGAAGCCAAAAAACCGATGAAGGGCTATGAGAAGTTTGGGGCAGCAAGATGCAGCAAGTAGAGAGGATTGGCTCTCAGGAGTCTCTTGCAAGGTGAAGGCTTGCAAGCGATTCTGGGACCAATGGCCTTGGACCTTCGCCATCCAACTTAGGAGGAATGAGCATGAATAAGCCTTGTTATGGCTATGGCCGACAGCAGTTGCAGGGCATGTACCCCCTCTTGAGGGACTTGACGTGCAATTGTCCGACCATCCAAGGAATCGTCAGCAGCGGAGATTTCAACTTTCGATGAGCTCAGAACAGCGGTGGCGCGCAACATTGGCAAAAATGCGCCCTGCTGCAGATCCAGGTCACATATGATTACATGATGGCGATGGCTGGACCTAGACCTCCAAACTACATGAGTCTACAGACTCCAGACCAGGATCGGATCAACCAAGCGATGTTCTAACTTTCTGCCTGCGCACAGTGGTTGATATTTGCAAGTAAGTAAGCCTTAGATCCGCCTGTTGCTCGCCGGACGCTGATGTGCAGGAGCAACCTGCACATTCACCGTCCTGCACCATTGCCCCCATCATGAAGAAGATTAAAGCCTGGGGCCCGGCTTTCTAGACCTAAGATGTTTGGCGGCGTGATGATGCAGATTTTAGCGGATTGAGGAACAACTTACTCGTACTTTATTAGTGAATGATGAAGACAAGAACAGAGTTCAGAATTCATGATGATAAGGCCTTGTAATTGCGCAAATTTCAAGGATGTGCAAAGCTCATAGTGATAGTGCGTGTGGCAGGTGAATGACAGGGTTGTAGTTTTGAGATTGTCGCACGGCAACCAGAGGTGGAGGCCAATCCTGAGATGGGCAGTGTTCTCTTTTCTTGGCATCCAGTGGCGCCTTTTCCACCCCAGAATACATGAACTTTGTCAAGTTGTGTGACGCCCTATTGTGGCGGCCGCCGGAGCTTGGGCTCCATGCATGATCCAACAGCAGACGCCAGGCGGGATTCTAGCAGAGTCCTGTCAGGTGGGTCGTGGCAGCCAGACCAGTGAAGGAATGGACGGCTTCTCAAGCCCTGCACCGACAGTGAAGACCGCTGTGAAGACCACAGTGAAGATGTGGGCTCCGCAAAGTAGACTTTTGCCACTGTTGGACCGTCCATGGACGTACGACCATGTAGACTCAACACAAACATGTCCCAAGCTGGCTGAAGGAGATTTTGATGTGGCCTGTGGCTCGAGTTATTTCTTTCATGCTTGTGTCCCAGACCAGCCTTTAGTTTCTGCATCGCCATGCTTCAGGCAAGTGCACACCTCAGTTTCATTCCCTGAAAGCATACCTCAGTTTCAGAAAGCTTCGGAATCGCAGAGCGAGGTTTGCGCTCACCTGCGCCAATCAGATGTGAGCTGCGGACCCAGTGCACTCGAGGGCGAACCGCCACCAGAGTCGAGTCGCTCTGAGGCCTCACCAAGTTGTGAGAGTCGCTGTCTTGGCTTAAAAAGCTGTTGCTTTTCATGTCTTTAAAGTCTGTGCTTTTCATGTTTTATATAGTGCTTTAGCATTTTCCAATTGTCGAGACAGTTTTAATGTTTGCTATTTGTACTTGAGGCTCAGGCAGCACGACCTGCGTTTTCCCTTGCCCCTGATGCATGGCCTCAAGAGCTGACCTCAGCCAGTGTGTGGTGCTTTTAAGCCAATGCTGGCGCTTCACCACCTGGTTTTCACCAAATCCTTGGGACTGCCCGGCCCCAGGTAGGTGCAGCCGGTCTCTTTGCTGCCCTTAGTTATGGCTACCGGAGGCGCAAGGGGTTTGAAGAGGATTGCTCCTATACTGCCAGGTGGTCGAACGCAAGGGTTGAACGGGCTTACCTGACTTGCTGGACTTGAACGGATGTTTGGCTGGTATGTTTTGGCCCTTGCTGAGCCCTATTTCACCTTCAATTCAATAGAATATGGGTGGACTCACAGTACAAGAGGATACAACAAGAAAAGCATGATGATTGGAAGATAGTGGAATCACAGGGATCACTAGTCACTCGTCAGCTCCAAGTTGGCTCCAGGTCCAGATCTACTGCAGGTGCCACTTTGGCGTGGGTCGCAGACAGACTGTGTCATCTTCAGACTACTCCGGTTGCTTTTGTACTCAGGCTGGTAGTTCAAGATCGTACGTCCAGATGAAGCAAAGCAGAACACCAGGATCGCAGCCTCAGTCTAAATCAGCATTCCTCACCTTTGGTTGGACATCGCGTTCTTGGAGATGGTAAAAGTCATGTTGACTCACTCACATTGATACGCAGACTTGTCCAGAAGTTTTTTGTGAAACAACACTCATTGATCCAAACCATTGCCAAACCATTGTGTAGCTGGGTTTGAGGCTCAGGGGTTGCGTGCCGAGGGCTTCAAACAGGCCAGGGAATCTACTGTTGGATACTTTTGGCTTTGCCCTAGGGGTGGAAGGAGAATTACAATGCCGGCAGCACCTGCACCAGGCATAGTTGGACTTCCAAACGTGGGAAAGAGCACGCTCTTCAACGCATTGTGCGATACTGGCGAGGTGGGAGAGAGACACACACCCCGTTTTCAGTGCAAGTCATGTCCGGTCCTGGTCTGCTGAGGCCGAAGCAGGGAACTTCCCATTCTGCACCATTGACCCCAATATGGGGAAAGCTAAAGCCTGGAGCCCGGCTCCTTTCTAGCAAATACAGTAGAATAGAATGTATGAGATCCCACAGAATGCACCAGGTACTGTAATTGTTAGTGGTCCCATACTTAATTTGAATCTGGGCAATTTGTGGCAAGCGTCAGATGGCGGCGACCCGGGCATTTTGGCTCAAATCAATTCAGAAAAAGCGCTCTAAAAACCTCTGCACCGGCAGCAGGAACCTCAGGTTTTGACAAGCTAGATATGTAAATAAACTGTTGCGCGTAGATTCCTTTTGCGTTTCTGGGGCTGAGGAGTCGAAGATTTGCCTACGTCGGGTGGTATTTCTACATCTTGGCTGACCTGCCAAGCGTGGCATGGGCTGTGCAACGGCCTTAGCGTCAAACTTCAAGCTCCCCACCGCACACGGGTGGCATGGGCTTGCAACCCTCAGGTTGCCAGTACTGCTGATATAAGTGAGCATGGGCCCCAGCCGTTTGGTGGCTCTTCACTGGCTTGACCGCCGTTGCGAATGCAGGCCAGAGATCTCACCCAATAAGAACCAGACACTCCCAGCAGATGGCAGGCAGCTACTTGTTGCATATTGCGCCATCTATCACCATATGGATCCATATTGCATTGCTCGGAGTCGAATTTCTGGGTTCAATCAGACGCTCCATTCGGCACTTCAGGACAACGTCTGGGAAGACGCTTCTGAATGCAAACTCTCCGAAAGGAGATCAAGCTCAGGGCTTAGGGCGAACAAATGACACTGACCCACGACCCACGGGCTTTTCATCACAACTTACACCGAACGGGGCGAAAGTCGGAGATTGGGGGCGGTTGCAGATGATCAAAGGTCTTGTCTTTGTGCCTTCCAGGCAATCACCGGAGATCTGCCAAACTTCAAGTTTGAGCCCCAGTCGTGAGGAAGCTGTGAGATGCGCTCATTCTGCTCAATGTTTTGCTGGAGGGCGGAGGTAGGCTGGGGTGACGTGCGGAAAAGACAACATGAACGAGACTGGGGCGCATCTAGATTTGTTTTCGGGACCGGACTGATCCAGGCAAAACTCAATTGAGAAGGCATATCATTGTTCCACTAGCCTGTTTGGCCTTTGAGGCATTCCAGGACTGTGAACCAGGACTTGCGATTGAAAGATGAGTGAGTAAATGAATGATAATGAATGTAAATGACACGATTGGGGCGAACATGTAAGATCTTTGATTATTGCAAAGTCCAAGTCATGTAAGGATGCAACAGTGGCAGGTGCATTTCAAGTTGACGTGTTCACAAGCTGTCGATCGGAAGCCAGGACGTTACTTCACCAATATCTCCGGGCAAGTCCATCCTGAGAAGTAAAAGCTTCCAAGGATTGTCTGCCCAGGACCAGTTCAGTTGGCGACTATTCGACGAGCACTATTGTTCAATCTGTCCTCGGAATTCTCGAATGGATTTGTGAGTCAAAACATGTCAAATCCCAATCTCCCAACTGGTGGTTGATTTAGGTTGACGTCCCTGGCCCTGATTCTGCATGGATCTGGTTTCGCTTGATTTCCAGGAGGGCGGCCGACGAGCCACATTTGATACTGCCTCGCTGGATGAGGAGGCATTCGTCCAGAAACTTATATTCATGATATAACACTTTAATACACTTTATATATATATTATATATGCACATACATATACACATATAGTGTATATATATATATATTGAACTTCTACTTTCAACGAAGACTGTGATGTGATGTTTGATGTAATTGTTCATGTCCGGCAAGCAATTGAGCAAGCATTTAATGCCGTCATGCCAGTCCTTGTTTTGGTCGTGGCCAGCACAAGGGAAGAGCGCTCAGTGGAGTCATTGGGCAGGATCGGGCCATGCTGATGTTGGAGGCTCGTAGTCCCAAGCTGAGGCAACGTGGTGAAGTGAATTGAAGCTGTAGTTATTCATCCGAAACGAGCTTGCAAGCGCACATCCGAACTTAGGTGGGAAGCGCCGGGTGACCCTCGGTCAAGCAGAAGTCAGAGAGTACAAGGTTCAGGCCACGGAGCTCTCTCCCGCCACCACCCGACAAGACGGCTAATGACATAGCTGACGCAATCGAGGAGATGGGACCATGTTGGACCTCCAATCGATGTAGATCTCCGGCTGTATATTTCACTCTAAGGGCAAGCCTGCCCGGTGCTGGGCCACGCCACCCCCAGCTGGCCCACCTGACCCCACGCATCCACAAGCCCACAAGCGCAGTGTCGAATAGGAGTGTGCCCCCAAATTCCTCCTACTGGTACTGGCACATTCTCGATTTTGCAGGGGTTGGCGGCGAATAGAAGCAACATGATTATGTCAATCAGCCAATCGCACTTGATCGGCCCAGATGACCATGTCCCGCAGCTTCTGAGGGGCACTGTCTAGCTTCGTTCAGAGAAACGAAGGTGGCCTGTTGCACGAACTAGTTTAACACCTGTGAAAGGCCAGGCAGCGTTTTTAGGCGCTTCAAAAGACACCGCCAAGGTGTTCCACTGTTTATAGTAACAGGATATATATATAGATATATATATGTATCATGTCATGTATATGCACCCATAACCATATTTACTTAAGCTGATGATAAAGTTGAAAGAATTACACTTGGCATCATTTGGCTATGATTTTGAAGACATGACGAGTGGGCTCTTTACTTCAAGGGCATCAGACTTATTGAAGCACAATGGCAATCCATCCACATGTGGACACACCTGAAGCGGCAACCCTGCACACAGGCCAACAGAGGCTTCCAGTTTGAGCCTGGTCTGCTATTCCTGGGTCATACTGAAGCTGATGTATTCAAATTCCGTGGGATGGTCAAATCGAAGTTGGTTCAGCAGCAAGAATGGAGACGTGACCAGCTAGAGAGCGAAGAAGACCAGGTGACTCGTTGTGCATCTTCATGAAGACATTCTCTAAGAGAATGTTCTCAATCATTCGCTGTGCATGTTGCTGGAGCCGACTACGAGGTTTCATTACGGTGCCACGTACATGTTGAACCGCAATCTTGCAACATTCCAAGATTCATGACGAGCTCCGGAACATGGGAACGCCATGACAAAGCTGCAGGCTTTGCCCAAAAAGATTTTAGCGCGCAGTGTCTATTTGTGTGGGTGCACCCACCCATCGTGCCTGTTTTCCGTGTAAAGGTTGGGTGAGGCAACGTGTGATGCTTTTAATCTGATTGACGTGTGACTTCATTCCAGTCAGAACTTGTGCGGCTTTTTGAGGTCCCAGACGAACGCTTGGAAAAGCTGGCCAGTTTGGCCAAGAGTGAGAAGACAATTCATGAGGCCCAAACTGACGGATGGAAAAGGTGCTGATAAAAGATGAGACACCTCTTTTTTCCCATTAGACACACGGAGGATGAAACTACAGTAACTAACTATACATGATGACACGAGACATGTTAGTTTCGCAATTGAATTGCTCAGATGATCGAGTACGTTGACATCGCAGGGCTGGTGAGGCGCCTGACAAAGTTGAGTCAGTGGGCCCTGCCAACTCAGCATTTCCTCAGTGCCTTGTTTGCTTGCGCAGGGGGGCTTCCAAAGGAGAAGGCCTCGGCAACCAGTTTCTGGGCAACATCCGCAATGTAGGCTGGAGAGTGAGTCTTTGGATACATTCCTGGATGTCCATTGATGTCCCGATTCGGGCTTCCGACTTCCTCATGTCTTGCAGACGCCATTGTGCATGTCATTCGATGTTTCGATGACGACGATGCTGCGAGCTCAGCTCTTCCCGCCTCCGGATTTGACGATTTGGTCACATTCCACGTGATTTGCATTGATGAGACGTGGCATCAACATTTAAAGAAAGAGACGAACAAATACTGCAACGTTGTACTTTGATTGAATAAAAGAGCAGCTTAACACAACACAGATCAACACAGATATATACAGTAATGATATGAATATATGTATATAATTGTATATATAGGCTTGCGATGGTTTTCCCATGACTGACACAACATGTTTTTCTAGGTCACTCATGTGGACGGCTCCGTGGACCCCGTCCGAGCCTGCGACTGAGCCGATGGGATGGGCGGCGTTGAGCGGCTAATCATCGGAAATTTGTGTCCCAGGACATTGAGACGATCAGCTTAGAACTGATTTTTGCAGATGCTGATCAGGTTGCTTGGATCGCAAAACACAAAGGGAAGAGCGCGAAAGTATCATGTTTGTTGTTGCTATGTGTGGCCGGTGTACAGATTCCGTTGAAGTGATTTGTTTGACTGCTTGATACTGCTTCCATGTGCTTGGTGACACAGAGAGTCAGAGAGAGAGAGAGAGAACAGCAGCTTAGTGCACCAAGCGGCTGAAGAAAGTTGAGAGAGAGGTGGTGGGCCAGGCACCAGGGCACGCGGCGCACGGGCATCGCTAGTAGTCGACCAGGGCACGCGGCACACGACACCAATCGGTGATGAGTTTAGTTCATGCTATGACCAGGTCAAAGGTGCGAAGGAAGAGAAGCAGGCACGAGTCGGTCACCTCGCTGTTTGAAGTGCTTGTACAACATACAACATACAAGCCAGCTTTTGGTTTCATTCAGAAAGCACACCTCGAATCGACTTCTTCACCTTTCAAGGCCTTGGAGAAGGTTCTGGTTGCCTTGGAGGACCTGAAAGAAAGCTTTACTCTTGAATGACCGCCGCTGCGGTCATTGCAGCCACACCAAAAGAGCTTTCACCAAAGGGGTCGTTTTCACCAAAAATACCCGGGCATCAAGGACCAGGGACTGCGGCTTGAGCACATGCAGACGACCCCGCAATTAATCGCAATTTACTAGTATGGTGAATGATCCTGCACCTCAAATCTTGTTGAAGGTCCACCAGATGGATGAGTTTCTTGCTGTCGACTCCTTCGTACCATAAGCGACATCAAAAGAGCCACAATTCCATCGTTTCGGCAGATTGATGCATTTGGTGTGTTTTTGCTTCAGACTGCGCCCCTTTTTCCACTCCTGGCTTGGCAGGAAGGCACGCCAGCGCGAGCAGCAGGCTTGTCTGAACAGGACTTGGAGGCCTTGAAGGCGACGAGTGCAGCCCATTTTTCTTTGTCACCTTTGAGATTTTGCACGTCACATGGTTTTGTACGTTTAAGGTATAGATTGTTCATACTTTATGCCTGTTTATGTGCCTTATATATAATTTTTAATGTGTTTTCTGCGGAATGCTTGAAGGGTTTTCGTCATAGATCTTTTGACTGGACTTGAATATCTCCGCTCGAGACGCTTTCGCTGCTATCTTTGAAGCCTGTCATCTATGCTGCCAATGTTGCGGAGGCTGGGATATGGCTGAATTCTAAGTAGCCTTCAATAATGTCTTAAATGGCGGGACAGTAGGAACATAATGATGGGACGGGAATGTGTACATTGACTTCCCTGCTTAGCTACCAGACTAATTAATGTCGACCTCAATCGTTTTGTGAGAAGCCAGGATGACCTCGCAGAGGGAAATGATTATGTCAAGGTGCGCTTTAAGATCGTGCTTGTTTTCAGAGAATCTTGTCCAGCATGGAACCTCTTTGAACATTCTTATCGTCCAGCATGGAAATTGTTCAGTGCATTTAGCGTGCGGTCCCGTCGGTTAAAATCTCTCTCTCTCTCTCTCCCCCTTGAGGTCCCTCCCACACTATGGATTACAAAGACTGGTGTGGTCTTTCCGCAGGGGTTTTTCCCGACGTTCGCTGCGGGTTTGCTGTGTGCGGCACGTGGAGGGGGTCCCTGCGGATCCTTTGGTGGTTTGGTGGCGGCTGGTGCCAGTGCTGGGATTCAAGTCACATCCAAACAGGCAGACATCACAGCACTGCAATGGCTTCGCCGGGCTGGCAAGCATCAAACATAAATTTGCTAGAGATCAGAGATCACAAGCAACACAAAGGCCACTTCAGCTCGGCCTTGCGTTTACCACGACATGTGCTCTGCCACTCAGTGTGTGGAACATGAGCTTGTTGCTTTCCTAGTCGTAGTCGGGCTTTGCCTGCTGTGAAGATACTGGTGAGGTTGCTTTGCAGGAAAGGAGAGCCAGGATTTTGAATTTTATATAGTTTCTTGTCGTAGGCTGTACAGGGCTATGCGGCTGAAGCAGGGGACCAGGTGGTGGTCGTTTCTGCGCAGGTTGAGGCTGGACTTGGCTTCACAGGGAGTTTACAATGTTTACTACTCACCACCACTCACCAGCGAGTCGCCACTGATAGAGTACCCGTGAGGCAGAACTTAAGGGCCTGGATGCTGAAGAGCGAGCAGATTATTTGGAGTCTTTGGGAGTGAAGGAGATGCAATTTCACCTGTCCACTCTTCTCCACATCTCCCAGACGATTTTTCATGTGAGCGATGTAGACTGTGCTTTTGGAGGAGAGTGGCTGCGGGAGCTTGGTACAGGCCACCTACAGGAGAATCTTAAGTTATTTTGATTTATTAACTTCGCAGGGGAAGGGGTCAAGATGAGTCAAGCAGTGAGCATCAGCATCAGAGAACCAAATGATATCGTGTGACCACATTTTCTTCAGGACCCTTGGTTTACGAACCTACTTCACCTGCGGGCCAAAGGCGAGACTGGAAATTGATGCTTCACCGTCCGTCTTAAGAGCTTGGCCCATCGCCCAGGAGTCTCGCGCGTGGACCATCCATGAAGGCTGGAAGGCACCAAAGGCCATGGTGGGCCATTGGGGGGGGTGGAGTCGATGTGGCGCATGAGCCCATGGGAAGCCCAGGCTGCCGGGGTCATCCATACGGACTTCGAGAAAGGCTTCATCAAGGTGCCAATTCGTCGGGAAGTGGATTGCTTCCAACAGATATGATGCCAAGCATTGCCAACTTGTTTCTCGTAGCCATGCCCTTTGTTCCTACCATCAAAAGATGCTAAGGCAAGAACTTCCAATTGCCCAGGCTGCTACCGTGAGCTACAACGACTTCGTGGAGTGTGGCTCCGAGGAGGCGCTGGGCGGCCCATCCGAGATGTAGGGCTACGAATTCGCAAGGGGGCACGCTGTGGTATGGTTCATTTTGCAGGCAGCAAAAGAGAAGGGAAAGCTTCGGATCGAAGGGAAGGATTACGTCGTTCAGATCTTAGCCATCCTGGAGTCCTAGAGCAAACATTTTGGAAGAGCTTGCTTGCCCAAGGTGCAAGAAGCTGATGTGATGCACTTCAAAGTGTAATGAGTTTTGGGCCAGTGGCAAATTTTCAGGAATTTTCATAGCGGGCAGGCTGCTGCTACCCACTTAGTGGGAGCCCTGCTGTCGGTGTAGCGAGGTAGAAATCAAGTGCCGGTAACGCCGTCAGCTGCTTGTCCTACTTCCATGAGTGGACAAAAGCCTGAGCATGCCATTCACATGAAGGAATTGAAGCCCTGCCCACGCTCGCTCCGCCCGGTTTTGCTTTGCTGAGCATCCCAGCGGAGGATGAAGTTCGCCACAAGCTGGGTGTGAGGGCCGTGAAGTTATTATCAGACATTGAAGCAACGAATCAAGTGAATGAAGGGGCATCGCCGTACATATCACATTGAGTTGTACAAAACTTCTCAACCGATGTTTGAATGAGAATCAATTCCAAACATCGACACTGGGATTTCTGCTTGCCTGGATGTCTGCACACACGGGACATGATATCCGACGAATAGAACTGACTGACTATGACAGTAGCATCAGAAGTGAGAGCGACAGCATGTGACAGAGGGAGAGAGAGAGGTAGAGAGAGAGAGGGAGGGAGAGAGGCAAAGCAGCAGCTATCGCAAGAACAGCAGATATTGTTTTTGCTCCATAATTAGAATTGTCTTCCATTTTGCTGCAATGCCAGCTGCGCTGTCCAAACACATGACATTCGTGGGGCTCTAAGAGACTTCGACGAGAGAATTTGCACACTGACACTTAAAAAGATCTTCAAAGCATGCAGGAACAAGATGGAGCAGACTGGAGCGAAGGCCTGCGCATTCTTTTCCTCCCGAGCTGCTTCAGAAGCCTTCTTACAAATTCTCATACTTGCCCCAAAGTGTCCCTTCTCGGCTTGCTGCGAGCAATTTTCTTCGTGTTCCAAAGTGGTTTCCCTTCTTAGCCAGGTTCTCAATTTAACTCAGACTCAGAAGTGTTCATTCTTAGGCAGACAAGAATACTGTACTGGAATGCTTGTGGCTGATCTCTTTCGTTTGTTCCACTTCCTGATCTGGACACCGCGTCATTCATGTTTCTGCTGCAATTGGGGGGCACATGCAGTTTCCCTTGGCAACTGGCCTTGCCCAAGCCTCTCAACTAGGTCACGATGCAGCCAAAGAGCCTCATCCAGGAGATACAATGGAATGTGCCGCTTAGGTGTCTCCAATGGTTTTGGTGATGTTCAAACCATTTGACAGGACTGCTCACCAAACCCTTGCCATGCGGTGCGCAGCCTGGCTGTTGCTCAGTAGCTTAACCGTCTAATCTGCGAGTGAGGTTTAAGCGCCGCTGAGCTTTGCTGCTTTTGCTTCCAGGCTGATTGGGGAGGGTCCTTCCAGCAAAACCTGACAATGCTCAATCCTTCAAGTTATATATATATATACAACAGCAATGAATTTGATGAATTGACAGAGTTCCTAGGTGCGTTGAGGTGTCTGAAAACACAGGCTGATCAAGGTGTTCAACGGACAATATTGGGCTGAGCAGGGGTGAGAAGGATGCATGTGGGTGGATTCGGGTCCAGATGTTGGTATTCGAACCCTACCCAAAAAGCCCCTTAGAGATCTTTAAAGACAGAACTTGACAGAACCAATTTTTCTTGACCCTCTAGTCACAAGCTGCAAGCGCTCGGTGGCGCCTTGCAAAAGGTGCTCCGAGCTCACTTGGAAAGCGCTTGCCTCAAGTGCTGATGAGAGGTTGGTCTCAGTGGAGGTAGGAGGATCCACTCAAGCAGTCCAATTCTAGTGAGAAAAACATTTGTAGGTTGGATGCTTTAGTCTCTAGACAATCATAAAGTCATAGAGATGAGGCATTGAAAGGTGTGAACGAGTCAAAGTGAATACTGTATCTATATACCATGGTGTACACTTGAGTGGAACCAGTTTTGTGCTCACACTGACACCCACCCATTTTTTGGGGGAAAGTAAGTCTCAACTCACCAACTCACTGGCTGAAGTCATCTAAGTTGGTTTTATAGCTTTCAAGGCCTGCCACTTCCACGCTTCCCGGCGGATCCCGGATTCAAGGCTCCGTGGTATGCTTTCCTTTTTTTTCGGACTCTGGTAGAAACTTGAAAGGTCTGGGACCAACGGTTCATTGAAATCAATGGACAGTGATATGACTGTTCATCCATGTTAGTTTTGTGTGATCTCCATCGATGTGAGTCACATCACCGATGTCAAGGCTCCCTTATTTGTGACATGGTTGAAGCCTCGTCAAAGTGGCGCTGGGGCCTTGGTTTACCAAGAAACGTGCTGGTGCTGCTCCGGCCTGGTTAGGGCATTTATGGGGCTGCCGTTCAAAGCCGGGACACAACTAGCATGATTCCCGTGCCAAATGCTTCAATCCATTTTCCGCACTAATGGAGGATTGAGGGGGTTGAGACTAGCCAGTGCAGGTGGGCCCATCTTGAACCGCAAGATCATCAAAGATCCACCATTTTGCTGCTTTTCTCATGGTCTCATACAGTCTCCATCGTGCTCGTGCCAAGACCAATGCTACGAGCACGTCCCAGCTGGAACTGCGCGGCTGCATCGGGTGCCTCGAGGCTCGTTCTGAACGGCCTGGGAGTGCACTGCATGCCCCGCCCCCCCGCTTCTTCGGTATCCCCAAGGAATTGTATATTATGCAAGCATGGAAGGGGCATGGAAGCTTCAGCACCATGGAAGTTTGCAAGATTGTTTCCAAATAGCAATGAAGTTGCTTCGCATCAAACAACCTGGTTCTGAACCATTCTGCCATCACACTGCCTCAGATTTGGTTGACTGCCGTAGTTTAAAGCGTGGACTTTGTTGATCTTTGGCGGTTATGCATGTTATGCACCTCACAGAAAGAGTAAGTTGTACAGGTGGTGTGAGGGCTTGCTGTCTCAAGCACCTTTGCAAAAAGTTGGTATACAGTTTATTCCATCCATGCAAGCCGTTTCTCAATCAGACTTGACCACTCTGGTCCACTAGACTGGATGCTTTGGTATGCTTTGCGCCTCTCAATTCTGCAAGTTTCTTTTACCGTACTTCGATCTTCAGAGTATATAGGAACAAGTATCTTCGCACAGTGTTGTCCGTCTTTTTTTGTTTTCTTAAGGCCCCCGGGGGGGGGTAGGCCGCTAGGAGGTGGTAGCTAGAGGTAGCTACTAGCTGCAAGTGGACGCTACTACCGACAGGACACAGGATAGCTCGCGCTAATGATTTGGTTCCTAGCTTTTTAGGGAAACTTAACATTAGGTAGGCGCCGTATGTCTTTTGAGTTTGTTCAGATGTGGAACAGCTCTTCGACTTCTGCCCTTCTTCCTGTCAGCCCATTCACTTCCACAGCGGCCTGACGGAATATGCAATACGCAGTTCCATGAAGGACAGGATTTGCACAGCATTGCTGAGTGAGTTTGGACATTCCGAACACAGCCATCATGCAAAAACACTCATTGATGGTGCCACATGGGGCCACCGTTTAAACAGGGGATGAATTCTTTGGCGTCGCGGGCGTGTTTCGCGACGCCAGGACAGAAGGTTTCCACCTGTGAGACTGGACGAAGTGCCAATCATGTTGGAACACCTTGTTCCGTTCGTAGCGATGCCCTTTGCTCCGTTCGTAGCGTCCGATCGCTCCTAGTAAGGGGAACCCCTATTTTTCCGGGGATGTTTTTTCAGGTTTTTTACGTTTTTTTTCCGATTTTTTTCACCTACTGCTTTTGCTGTTTGTTTTTGCTTTCTTCTGCTTTTGCTTTTGCTTTTTGCTTTTGCTTTTTGCATTTGCTTTTGCTTGTTGCTTTTGCTTTTTGCTTCTGCCTTTGCTTTTGCTTCTGCTTTTGCTTTTGCTGACTATCTTCCTTGCATTGACACTGCCACAAAGTTGGATGATAAGACCTTCACCTTGAGCTTTGACACCCAATTACATCAATCAAGAAACGAAGCAGCCCAGCGCTGTCTATATTTGATTTGCATTGCGGGGGAGGCGCTGCGCCCTCCCCCGCACCCCC